TTGTTTTGACTTGCATCTCTCTTAGAGTTAGAGATTTTGAACATTTCTTCATGTGCTTGCTGGCCATCTGAATGTCTTCTTTGGTGAAGTGTCTGTTCATATCTTGTGCCCATTTTTCAATTGGATTATTTACCTTCATCTTGTTGTGGTGCTCAAGTATTTTATAAATTCTAGATATAAGTCACTTATCTGACATGTCATTACCAAATACTTTTTCCCAGTCCGTGGCTTCCCTTTTTACCCTGTTGGAGAAGTTTTTGGTTGTGCATAGGGATTTAATGCATCTAAGGTCCCATTCATCTGTTTTATCTTCACAAGGTTATTTTTTAAAGCCATTTTCTTCTGTTCCCTGTATTGTCTGTTGTTTTTCTGTGTATCTCCTTTCTCTCTCCTGCTCCCAGTGTTTGTTTTGATCTCTGACTTCATGTTAGAAGTCTTGTTCAAATGTCTAATAATCCTTGCTGTCTGTTTCTATTTAAAGTGAAGAATTATACTCCCAGCTCCCGTGTGAATGAGGTTGTTCTGCTCATCATCTTGAGGACTTTCCCCTAAAGTGATAAGAGAGGAGGAACCTGACTCTGAATCATCACCATATAAGGTCTGTTCTCTTGGCTTTTTATTAGAAGTAAGTTCTTCTAATTTTTTTCCCCATCTTTACAAGTTGGATAAAATCCTGGTTCCTGCATTCTCCAAATTGAGTAGGGGAAGGGAGCTGAGGGCAGCTCTCAGTTCAATATGAGAATGTGATATGTCCACTCATTTCAGAATGTTTCCTCATCATCACTTGAGCTGTCCCAGGAACAAGAACTTACAGTAGCATTCTAGCTAGAAATAAACAATACCTTTTCTAAACAGAAAAAGCTAAGTCGAAATCATACATAACTATAATAGAAATGTAAAACTTATACCCATGATAATCATAGGTCTAAAAAATGCTCTACTATTTTATTGTATTGATTAAATAAAGATTAATGAAACTAATGTACTACTTTCAAGTTCATGGCTTACGTCTTACCAGTGAAATTAAATTCTCCATTGTCTGTCTGTTCTTTCTGTGATGTACAGAAAGTTCTGTTATACAATCTTCATCAAGGTGAATAAACTACAAAAAAAAAGATTAATAAAAATGTATATATGAGAAAAAAAAAATGTATATATGTGCCTCCTGTTTTTTAAGGTTAAAAACTAGCATAAATGAATAAAAACCCAAAATCTCTGTAAATGTTCATTAAAACTAATAAAATTTAATAATAATAATAATTAAAAAAACCCCAAACAACTAGCATAACTATTTCTCAAACTGAACATCAGAGGTGAAAGCAACATGAGTTTGTCAACCTCTTGGTAAGAATCGATATTCCCCATCAGGTTTCAAAATATAAGCAGATAACAACAAGTATACCCAGAAGATGAGCTTTCCCCCAGCCCTTCGGTCTCTGCATCGCCTGATCAAGTGTTACAACCCTATTAACGTCGTCAATGGATTACACATCCTTCCCTATTGTAAAACCTACATTGGCATTTTCATCAAAGAGCAGTGTCTATACATCTAAAAATCAGTGGCTATACAATAGGCTAGGAAGAGTAGTCAGATTTGTGGCCTACAGGACCAAAGTTAACTTCAGTACAATCCAAGGAGTCCTTTCAATGGTGCCACAGAGGTTACACAATGTATACAACATATACTGCAAAGTACAACAAAACACAATTTTAAAAAAGAAAAGATGGAGAAGAGGGTGAGGAGGTCAACGTCTGTACAAACTTCAATTCAAATATTCTGGTTCAGGCATAGTGGGATCTCACCCAGCATGGGCCTGGCCTAGACCTGAAAAGGGATTTCATTAGGAAGAGAAACACCACAGCATTCCTTCGTTCTAGATACCGTACCTGTAAACCTTTCTCTTAGGGTCAAGGAAAAGCATGCTGCCATCATAAAAACAAGTTTTGACATTCCTGAGTGGTTGACAGGAGCCCAACTTCATGGGTTATGAAGAACACAAAGGTCACAAAAGCTTATACTAAACACACACACACACACACGTAGCACTGTGAACATTGAAATGCTAAGAATGATTTCCCACTGTGTTGTTTTGACTTTGGCAGCTCTAGGAACTATGCATTCCTCCTAGTTTGACACCTTCCTGTTGACATCCTCACTGTTCAAGTGGAAGACTGGATTCCTGAGTTATCATCTTTAAAAATAATCCATCCCACATTACTATGGCTTCCTGTCGTATGCTTTAACCACAAGATACTTGTGGGTCTCAACAAAACAATACAATTTTAAAGAGGACAAAGAAAAGCCTATAAAAAGGAAAATATGTGTGGGGAACGGAGGAACAGAAGGAAGGAGTGAGCATGAGAACCAAGATTAAAGAAAAGAGATACTGACTATGAGGGTCCTAGGCGGACAGCAAGAGGCTATGGTGGCACACTGATTAAAGCACTCAGTCACTAGCTGAAAGTTTAGCAGCATGAATTCACAGCTGCTTCACAGCACAAAGATCTAAGCAGTATGCTCCAGTAAAGATTACAACCTTGAGAAACCCTACGGAGCAGTTCTACTTTGTTCTCAAGTCAATATAGGCTCACCATGAGTAGCAAAGGCATTGGAGAAGGACGCACGGTAACCGAAAGAGAAGACTCTTAACAACAAGGTCAACACAGTGACTGGAGCAATAGGCTCAAGTGTAACAGGGATGGTGAGGATGGTGCAGGATGGAGTGGGTTCAAGTCTGCTGTTCACAGAGTTGTTATGATTCGTGGTCAACCTGATGACACCTATTAACAACAGCACGAGCAGGAAAATGGCTTGAGGCTCACTGGTTCATGCAGGCAACACTCAAGAGTGAAGTGGGCAACACACCAAAGTCTTAAAAACATGGCTCACTTCAAGTTGTTTTCCACAGAGTTCAATACTTTTGTTTCAAGTGCTCTGAATTCCCAACCACACATACTCAAGTTAAATTAAGTAAAAAATGCATACCAAAAGCTAGCCAATTATTTTGGATTATCCGTGCCTACTACATTTCCTGTTCACTAGGGCAGAAAATGGAACTGACTATAACTTCTATTTGATACAATACTTGGAGACAAGACCTGTGTATGAAAATGGCAGGAGGAAATCATGCATAGAGTTACAGAACAGCATCTACACCTTAAATATCCAAATAAATCTGAATTAGTTTTTATAGTCTACTCTTGATGAAACACAATACTAGAGAAGAAAAGCAAATACTTCAAAAGGCAACCATAATCCCTTGTAGCTCCTCTGTACATAATGTATTTAATCCTTGCCACAGCTCCGTGAGGCAAGAGAGATGAACGACATAAAATGTAAAAACACATTCAAAATGGCAAAATATGACCCAAAGATACATCAGAGATTGAAATGATAATTCCCATATTAGAGACAAGAAAACAAAAACTTGGGAAAATCAATACTATCTGCACTTTTCACTCCTAGCCCAGTATATTTCCAACCACACACCACCACTGTGACTGCTCCAACATATGTTCTGACAGAGATCAGACAAACAATGCTTGTCGCAAAGGCTCTAGATACAAGGGATGTAGACTTTGAGCTTGAACTAGGTAACATACAGCATCAATTCCCTTCTTGAACTCTTCTGTCTGGTTCAGATCTTGCGTGGGAAAGATCTTAACTCTGTGTCTCAGTTCCTTCATCTACAAAATGGGGTGATAATAGCACCTTCCTTTAGAGTACCTACTTCAGTGGTAAAGATGAAGTGAGTTAACACATAGAAACTACATACCCACACACACACACACACAAATAAAACTATACTACATCAAGTTAGAACTGGCTCATAGCTGACCTTAAAGCGGTTTTCGAAGGCTATAAATAGGACAGGGAGAGATCACCCTTTTTTCACCCCGTAGAGCTAATGCTGATGGATTTGAACCACCAGAGATGTAACCTTTGGGTTAGCAGTGCAACTCTTTACAGACTATGCCACCAGAGGTCCTTGAATAAATATCAGCAACACAATAATAACAACAAAATGCCAGGAAAAACATATACTCTTTGGAGTACTCAAAATCTCATATATTTTCTATGAATCTGTACTCCAAGTTTTAAAAATACTTTGGTTAGTGAAATCAGAGACAGTCTTCATTTTGGTATCTGTCAACTGCACATAGCTGTGTATCCTGGGCCATTATTAGCGTTGTAGCTGAGGAGACACGCAAAGCGCTCCCACACGTGGAGAAATGATGACCCCCAATGGCTGAACACCAGCATTTGTACCATCTACTGTATCTCTCACATGGGGAGGTCACAGCTAGCACAGTCCTCCTGCTGTACTGCTCAGACACCAGCACACTCTGTTGCTCTCAGTCCCCAGTGTTGACAGCTGTTACACTTAAGTTGTAGCTTTAACTGTATTTGCACCACACATAGTTTTCTTTAAAAGATGTCAGGAGAGCCATAGGGAATATGGATAAGAGAAACTGTAAGCAGCAATCATATTATTATCAGTGAGGACAGTAGCTCAGGTTTCTTAGCTAATATCATAGGCAGGACAGTGACATGGGGCTGGAACTGGATGGTGTCTCACTACCATTAATGAGTGTTTTTATCTAAGACCCGACAAAAGAATCTTGACCAAAGAGGAGAGAGGAATGGAACAGAATATCAAATTCTCCATGAAATCCAGACCTTGTGGAGATTGATCACCCAAACTATTGCTCTGGGATCATCTTTAAATCTCAAAACTCTGATTCTTATATCCCCAGTTGATTCTTATGTATACAAAATAATCACTTGACTTAAGAATTCATCTTGAGATCTTGTTAAACTATAAATTCTGATTTAGTCTATCTGGAGTGGAAATGCAAATGAAAACTGGAGTAAACTGATTAGGTCCCTAAGACCAGGCTGTTACATGAAAACTGGCATTACACAAAAATGGAAGAGTTTTTTTTCTTTGCTGTTTTCAGACCATCCATGTGTCTGATTTTGTTTTTGTTTTCAGAAAATGTGATCAGCTAAAATTTACTGATGTGCTTACCACTGTGACAAATCCAATTATGGATTATTCCTCTGCAAAGGAGGAGGCTTGGGAGCAACATAGCTGGGTAAATCCAAGCTGTGTGACTGCAGGACCCTACAGCTTACACGCTTTACCTTTCTCCTATGCGGAGTCAGAGCTTCCATTGCGAAGCTGCTTCCAGGGCTCCACTCACACTCCGGCAAGCCTACCCTCATGAAACCAGGGCATTCTCCCTTTCTTCCAGGTCTGTAAAGGCACACTGCGAGTCCCGTCACTCACTACCCACTCCATCCAACTCTACACCCCAGCAGAGGATTCAGACCCAGCGTGGCTCACTTCGGGATGCCAATAAACTCACATACATTTCTCTAAACATCTTCTCCAATGTGTCTTTCTTTTCTCCTTCCCCATCCTACAGCAATTCTGAGCGGCTAGGTCACACTGGAGGTGGGAAGCCAGAACAGAACACGGACTTACTGCCTTCACCACCTTACTAATGAGCAAAATGAGTGAATAGTAAATTTTTTACTATTGCAAATTCAAAATGTCAGATAACGAGATAGTTGATAAATGAAAGTGTTGTTGTTGAGTCGGAACCTCAGAACTAACGCATAGCTGACCAACCCTCTAGGGGATTTTCAGAGATAGTAAAGTGCATGGGAGGTGAATGCCAACCTTTCTCTCATGGAGCAGTTAGTGGATTTGAATCATGTATCTTTGGAATTGCAGTGCAGCTTCTTACCATTAGGCCACCAGGGCTATTGAGTGAAAATATGTTTTTATTATTAGAGTCTCAAGTATGAACTGCAGAACCCCGAGGACCTGTAAGGGCCAATCTACTTACATCATGATAAGATGTTATCTGCATTTTCACACTGCTGACACAGGCAATGGTGAATCAAAACCAGTAATAAGTAAAACTGCTGGCGCTTTAGTACAAATCAATGTAGATGCATCAAACTCTAGATAAGATACTGCATTCTTTGCTACACATTGGTTTTGTTTGGTTTTTCAAAAATAAAAAAACAAAATAAAACACCACAATAGTTTCATAAGAATATCCTTGGTGAAGCAATAACATGTTATT